TAGGATCCCTGTTTGGAGTTCCTAGCTGCTGTCCAGAGTTGTAGGAGCCTTAGGAGCGCTGTTTGAAGTTCCTAGCTGCTGTTACGTCTCGTTTTGCTGCTTTTTACACTAGAATTTCTGTTTTCTCCATTTTCCTGAAAAATTTATTTAAATTCCCTGCAAATTATATTATGATTTATGAGCTAACCACTCAGCAGCAACAACAGCAGCAGATATGCCAACTACACATGTATATATTTTTTTTGTCATTTTTATTACTGTAATTTATTCCTGCTTTAATGTATCATACATGCTTAGTTGCAACAACATTTTCAAAATAAAATAATTTTAAAAAATAAACAACATTTTCAAAACAAAATAATTTTTTTTTAAAATAAATAACAAATTCAAAACAAAAATAAAAAACATAACACATACTTTTGAATTTACGGGAGTTATTTGGATGAGGTAACCTACGGTTGCTAACGAAATCTTCATAGTTTAAATGTGCTTAACAACTCATTTGGACTAAGTAAATTAAAAAAAAATAGTGGTACAAAAACGAGGGAACCGTAAGATCCTAACCGATGCTGCTCTAATCAACTTTAACCTCTCATAATGCTTGAATGACAACAAAATCAAAACTTTAAAACATAATTGGTAGAACTTTTTGAATCTTAGATTTTAGGATTAATACTTCGATAAGGTGTTTGGAGCCAACTTTGTGGACAACACGGCGAGAAACTTGGATCGAGCAACAAGAGGATCTTCTTCAGCATTCTCTCTTCCTAGCATAATAACAACCCATAGGACTTCGAGGTAGTTGTCCTAACATGACGTAAATCCCCACTCTCTCTTTAGACTCCTGTGCAACCATATTGTACAGCTAAGTCCTAACTCACCTTCGGTTTCGAGGTTGTCGTTCAGTATGACGTAAACCCTCTTATCTTTGCAGACTATCTGCATAATCATATATTATGCACATATAAATCTCAAATAATAAAATTAGCAGGATTAAACACTTGAATAACATCATCTTCAAAACGCAGCCACACAGTATGATAGTTCGGGAAGTCACTTAGGGTTCTCCTTAAGATCCGTGACGTCCCTACCTTTTCCTTTCTTTGAACTCCTGAAAATAACTGTTCGCACTTGAGTCACTCCCACTTGCATTTTCACGTTCTACCGTGAAATCCTAAACCTTGAATTCTTGAAGAATTATCGAGAGTTTTCTCAAGTGACCCAGTCATTTGGGATGTAATTAACGGATGTAATTAACTATAGGGGCTATAACTAGAGGGGTTTGTCTCTATAGGGAACTTGGAACCCAGGTAAAATAAACCTTATTTAATCTTGATTTAAAACACTAAAATGTTATGTATGTAAATATGAAAGTTTATGTGTGAGATATGTAAATTATATCATAAATCTCTTAGTTTGTATGATTGGGTCTATCGCCGAGATATACACTAATCTTTCGGGAAGGTGTAGTATTCGTGGTATCAGACACGATTATATAAACTATTGGACGAATCAGATCTATTTGGTCTCATTTTTCAGAAATTAAAATACACTACTTTCAAAACCAAAACTATATATCTCATATATTAAATTGAATTGACAAAATTATTTTCAAATTGAAAAGTTGATCGACATCATGTCATGGTGGATGTATTTTTTTTTAGTACATATGGTTGTTTGGTTATCGTACACTTGTGATTTTTGTTTGATCATTTAGTTCTTTTAATAATTTTTATTCACACTCCTTCGCTAATATCCAATGCCTCTGCCTTATATTTTTGTTCTTGTTTAATATATATGTCTTGTATGTATGCGTGTATGAGACACATGGTTAATTAAAGTACTTGGTAAGATTTCAATTTGTCATTTGTCATCGAATCCGTTATGCATACGTGCAATCAAATAGAAAACATTTTTCTTTAAAATTATTACATGAAGCTTTGCATGCATTGAGATTTTTATACAAATAACCAAATTCACATGATTTGAAACCTTTTATGTGTTTCTTGAAGTAATTTGCAATTCAATTATTATAACTCAAAACTCTTGTCAGTTGTCTCAAAAAACATACGAAGTTGTCTAAAACATCCAACTATATGAAATAAAATATCTCCATGGCTTCAAGTAATGCACGAAAAGCTTAATTGAATGATCCGAAAATGCACTTTATGTTAAAAATAGGCTTAAATTTAAACTTTATTTCATCTCAAATTGCAACAATTATTTTGAACTTCATAAAATCTTTTTTTAAAACAAATTCAAAAACATCAAGTTATACACACGCTTGAGTGGATCACCTGTCTATAGTGAATATTGTAGGTCTTAGTCAGTTTGATCCTTCTTCTCACCAGAATTGGAGTTAATTAGACTTATGATTAATAGTATTTAAGCAACAAAATTTAACTAAATTTCAAATATTAATGATTAAATCAATTTTCACCCCAATGATCACCATATTGACAAAAAAATCTCGATCGGAGGCGATTGTATTTTTAAAACACCCTCAAAGTTTAAGTAAAATTATTGCAGGTTAAATATTGACTAAACTTTAAAATTCATTCAACGAAATAAATAAAAGATAAAACATTCATATGAACTTTTATTATTTAAAGCTTAAAATAAATTCTATTCACCTTCTACAGTTGTTTGAGTTCATAAATAGTCAATGTCATATCAAGTGTATTTTTGTGTTTCTTTTAAAAAATTCCACGCTAGTAAGGAATTGACTTGTGTTATTGATTGCAAAATGGCTTTATAAAAATAGCGATTACGAATAGAGTGTTTTGATTTGGTGGTTCATCACAAAATGATAACATTATATTATGGTTAGGTATGTTTTATAACGACTCTGCCTCTTGAGTTGCTAATCGTAGGGTATACTTGATAGGACAAAAAACCCTATGTTAGCCGAGTTTAACTTAAATTTATCTCCTTAGATAAAATTCGCCTTAAGTTTATAGAGTCCCCTTAGATGGCACAACCTATGCTTGTTGATAAGGTTCCACTATCTTATTGAAGTAGACCAAAGATTGACAACCCGTGACTTTGAATCTATCGGCTCTTTATCGGCTATACCATTTCATCCTTTGTTAGTAAATTTTTTTTGGGACTTTGAATCTCACCTAAACTTTCATATTTACACTCAAATCTTTTATATCACATAAAAAATAGCATTACCTCCACTTCTTAAAAGTGAAATACAAAACTTTTCATGCATAGGTTTAATGCACCAAGTGCTATTTATGTAAGTATGAAAGTTTAGGTGTGAGATATGTAAATACCTAAGAATCTTGTGCTATGTATGCAAATTTCTCATTTTTGAAAATAATTTAATCCAAAATTGGCATGGCTATTTGTTGAGCATTTGAACCGTAATGTCTATTAGCCTTAATCAAAATTTATTTTACTATTGAGAGGGTTATTAGCCACAGGGGCTTGCTTTTATGAGAAATTCGAACCAGATTTAAAATTCATTCAAAATGATGGTGAAATTTTTGGGTATTGTCTTATGTTAAGGCTAACATGCATTCTGAAACTTACCAAAATAACACATAACTCTCTTTGCAAGAGGCCGGGTTGTGAATTTTTCGATCCCACACATCTATCTATAGTTAGGGCTCTTTGTGGTTAGATCTTTATACTAGTTTATGGTCGTTTATGCACTTTGTAAGTTATAGTTTTGTAGTTTACAGGGTTTTGATCATCTTATAGATTATTGTAATTTTCTGTGTGGTATATACTATCAGCATTGCAGCTAGGAATTTGCTACCGCAACTGATAGTTTTTACTGGTAATTATTTTATGACTATTAGCATATTTTTTTAATATGGAGAATTATATATTGACTAGATCAAATTCCTTGAGTATTTTTTTTAACCTTTTAAATGTTTAGAAACCAATCCATCTATTATGAGGTATGATAATTGTATAAAAGAGACTTCAAGGTGTAATTTTAAAAATCTTGTATGTTTTTTTGGTCCATACTTTTTTTGAATCTAAATGAAATACAGCCATATAAAATGTAAGTTTTTTTTTTTTTTATAGCATTGCAAATTGGAATGATGTTTTAAAGAGAAAATGCTTTTAATAAACATAAATGTTAGTAAGATTCAGGAAAAGGAATATATTTAATCACATTTCACATTCTTAGAAATTTGTACATTATTTATTATTTATGTTGGTTGAAATTTGAACTTGCACTGTAGCTTTGTTTCATTTTATTCAACTCCTTGTATGGTTGGGAAGAGGGTACGAAGGAAATGGTGAGGTCTGTCACTAAATCTTCAGTAGGGTGAGAGGGAGAAATGTTGTGGTAAAAATGTGAAGGAATTTGGTAGAGATTAGCCGGGGTAGAGCGGGCACCAAATTTTGTGGGGCTGTGAGCGTGCTAGTTATGATATAAAACTTTATTTGCTCATGTATGTAACCGAGCAATACATATCATATTCAACATTGCGAATATCCTTGTTATATTATCAAAAGTATTCTAGTTTTAAACTTCTTTTTTTCGGAAGTAATTCATAATTGTTACCTCCTAAGTTTGTTTTATCTATATATGTTGAAATAAGCCAATAAAGAATTCTTTCACTTTGTTTGCATTCTTTTTACCTTGTGTCATTTATATTTTGTGGATATTTTCTGTAGGAAAACTTGCTGTTTATCTTGTCATTACTCATTTTATTTATGTTTTGTTGGTATTTTCTGTACTTGATCTGGTTCCGGATCTTCATTTTTGATTGTCTTCATTTTACTTTTAAAAAAATATTGGGAGTCTCAAATGAATTATGATTTGGGTTCTTATATCCTGACAAAATCTCTTTCTAATTTAAAATTTTGGGTACAGCTTGAGATTTAAGCTGTGAAGTTATACTTTTGCTGCAACTGGTTTATATGTCTTCTTAAAATATGGAATTCGTGATAGTTAGAACTTCAGAATTATGGCTGTTGTTAGTAAAATGTTAAAGCATTAGTAAGTAATGTAGCTTGCATGTTTTCTTCAGCAATATGCAATGCAACAAGCATTTAAGACCATGATGAGTCAAGCAACAGAACAAAATGGCCAATTCAGCAATGCAGCCTTTCCGGCTGGCTCACCATTTCCATTTCCATCAATACCACAGTCATCTCCAACCCCGTCATCAACGCCAAATTATACCTCAAAAACAGCGGCTGTTGTAGATCTCCCTCCGACTAAAGTAGAAGATTCTCGTCCTCCCATCGACTCCAAAGAACAAATTGAACAAAAGCCCAAAAAATATGGTATTTGATACATACGCTTTGCATGGTATCTCCATTATTTCCCGTATGTCTTAATTGGCATTTGAATTTGATTCTTCAATTGTTTTATGTTTTACCCTTAATGACTTAAAATTCAGGTAGGTATGTTTGTTATATTTCTTTTTTCTCGTTCTAAATTTTAATGATAATTACACGTAAATGCTTTCTTCAAGGGTGTGAAAATCATATCGGACATTAAACTTGAAGGATATATTTAAGGTTTAATAGTTCAAACATGATTAAACTAGATGATGTAATAAATATTAAAACTATTTTAATATAATAATGATGTAATAACATTATTTTTATCAATTCAGTAAACAATTTTTTTAATTTAAGACAATTCATTTTTGAATATTTTAAATTATATTCTAAATCAAATTTTTTGAGACATGACATTTTCATGTTTTAATTTAAATATTTTATATCTAGCCATCCATTCAAAATCAAATAGCTAAAATTAAATATTAGAAACGATCGGTTTTTTAAAAACCAGACCGGTTTGCCATAGAAATACTGGTTCTGTGCAAAAGTGGTTTTGAGTTTGTACCGAACTGGTCAAATTGGCCAATCCGGTTTGGTTTTTAAAACCATGATTTTTCATGACATTTCTTTTTGGTCAAGTTACTTTAACTGAATGAGGCAGGCATAATACTTCCTTGGATCTGAAATTGCTCACTTGCCTACAAAAAAAACTGTATTTGATTGAGTTTCATATTCAAGTAACTTTTTCTTAGTTTTAGGGTATACCATAGCTGCCTTGTTGAAGCCCTTGTGATAATGAAGACTGCATACTTAGATTCATTAAACCTATATACATATTTTTGGAGACTTTCATGCAACTATGCATTTTAGTGCTGGTTGGCGATTTCTCTGCTGGTTTTTTTTTCAGATGTGGAGTTGCAAGCAAGTTTCTTAAAATTTTCCCAAGAATTATGAATTAATGGATTTGCATGATATATCTGAAACAATACTCTTCAAGACATTTATTAATTTTGCTAGGGAATGTTGGTATTAACTTCTGCCCAACATTCCTTAATACTTAGACTTGGTGATCATACTTGACTTGTTCTATATATGTGTGAGGAGACGAGCCATTGTATTGGACGCTCGTACCCACTTTCTAACTTGAGCTTTTGGTGTTAAGTGTTTACTTCCAGTGAAGTTGAAACCCGCGTTAAAGGGTGTTATATGTTTGAATCCTGGTTGATTGTGGCAAAGTTGTTTGGAGAGTGGGGTTAGCTCTTGTCCTCCTTCCCTGCCATATGGTCTTGAGCAATGTGTGCTTAATTTCATATTAATGCCGTTACATTGTGTTTCTGATTGAGAGTAACATAGTTTAGTGCACCTTCCCCTCTGCTCATGTTGGTCCTAAAGCAAATTCGTTTGCAAGCCGGTCATGATGCATTTGGTTACAAGCTGAAATTTTGGGTTGAAATGAGTCATATAAATATTAAATCAACAATATGGTATCAGTAGTAATCTGAAAAGCTTGATCTAAGAAGTTTGAGCACCATCTACCATTTCGGAATCCATATTTACAAATCAATCTGGGAGAGTAAAAATTAAGCCTTAATATAGTACTTAAGATTTTCTTGTTCTTTAAACTTTCCAATTCTTTTTTTTTTCTTTCATGTCGGGGATGCCTCCTCCATTTTTGGTCAAATACCAAATATGAATTGGGCTATTTACTGAGATCTTTGGTATGAAATGCGTGAATAACTGGTTTTTTAGTCTACTTTTTATCACCAAAACCAAATATTTATTGTTCTTTTAACTATAACAATTTGGTCTATTAATATGTATGATTTGCTTTTGGAGTCTTGGATTTGCGCTATGTGGGTTTTTAATACCTATTATAAAAGGTTGGATCACATGAGTTTATCTTCTTTTAGATAATGTTAGATAATGAAGTATTGTCTGCCATGGATAGGAATTCACATACGAAAGATATCAAAAGTAAGTGCTTTATTGTCGTGAAGGCTTTTATAAAGTCCATTTTCTTGCCGTCATAACTATTTTGACTGGAATCAGTAAATTTGTTGGTTGGTTGCTTGAACGGTTTATAGTATGTAAGATATTTAATTTTCCTCTTTAATTACTATTTTTAGTGTGGAAATTATGGTTAATTCCACCATTCATGCCTAAACTTCATCTGAACATACAAGCAAATCCTCACTTTCTTCTTTGATGTTGGAAATAATTACTTTTTAAATCTCATGTCATGCAGCCTTTATCGACGTTTCTCCTGAAGAAGTGTTGCGAAAGAGTTCTGAATATTCAAAAGACTCGGAAGAGTCCATTTCTCAAAGTGTGGGTCTATCTGAGAAGGAAGTGAGTTGTGCTATCCTTATTTGTCCTCTTTGCCAGTTCTATTGAAAACAAATCTGCTGTCATATATCTCAAATTTTCTTCAGATTACACTGAATGGAGCTGCCTTTAAACAGGAGCAGAATTTTCCCAGTAAGCAATCTGGATTTCCTAAGTATTTGGCTGATTTTTATGTGGGGAATACTTGGGATATACTTTTCTACTTAATTCAAAGTTTAAAGTAAGCCTCCAGGGCTGTTGGATGAATGACATATATGCCACATGTTATTCATCTAACATCCTGTTGTTACTAATTTTTCCATCTCCTTGTGACTGGTGCACCTGACAGGAACTTTATGTAAGCCTTCTCTAGAGCCATTGATAAAGGTCTCTGCCTTGCCTTTTGCATAATTTTTTTAGGGTGTATTTGTTGTGGTGTTCTTGTGGTGATATTTTAAGTTTGATTCAGTATGATTCTCATAAATCATACTGGCAATTAATTCACCTTTTTTTCCTTTTTGTGATTGGCAGCATGCCTTAGATAATTGGATGTGAAGGTGCTCCGATTCTCGTTCGTGCACTTTGATTGCGATACTTTAGGGTTGCATTGATGTTGTCTATTTTGTGCATGGCTTAACACTTTGATACTGGCATCCTGTTTTCTTTCTTCTCTTCTTTAGTAAAATCACTTGTTTCTTAGTTTCTATCTTGCCTTAATCATTGCTATAATTAATCTTTTCTGGACAAGGTGGGTGGACTACCACTTCTATCTTGTGCAATTAAAGTGTAAATGAATTTGGCTATCTTTGAACATCATTTTATTTTTTTATTTTTCATTTTATTTGTAATCCTCAAAGCGTGAACACATATTTCATTTGTGTATGAATTCTTTTGTTCAAAAACAGGTGCATCAAAAATAGGTACGTCAGGATCTGTATTGTCCGTTGAAGCATTGGAGAAAATGATGGAGGATCCAAATGTGCAGAAGTTGGTTTTCCCGTAAGATAATTTTATGACTGAAGTGGTCAAATGTTCTTTTGAAAAGTTCATGTTTCCATGATCCCAAATATCCACACACGTATGAAAAGTTACATATCCATATGTCTGTGTCCTCGTAAATGATACACAAACTCATTTATCCCATCTTTTTAACATTCTGCTATTTATTAAATTAGTGGGAGGTTAGGGTTTGGCTTTACTAGAGAAGATATAGTTTTATTTTATTTTATTTTGATTCTATTGTCTTTTATAGAGACAAATGTGAAATATTATTTGGACATTGTAAATGGACAATTCTACTTTGAAACCGTTAAATTTTCTTAATTTTATTAAAATTTGAAATTTTTTCTAATTTAGGGTCCGTTTGGGGCAGCTTATTTGGCGCGGTGGCGTTTTGAAAACGCACCTGACCTGTTCGGGTAAACTGCGTTTGGACAGCTTATGTGTTTTCAAAACGCCGAAAACAACATTTTCACACCACACCTATCTGGCAACTTTCTGGCAGCAGACTGGCTTTTCCAAAAAAATAAAAATTTTTAATAGCCACCGCACCCAGCTTATCAGCAGATTATTTGTAATCAGCTTATCAGCAGATTATTCAATAAGTTGCAGCTGCCCCAAACAAACTCTTAGTCTCATCATTAAATTTCTTTGTTTTGTTTTGTTAGACTATTCTAGGTTCTCTTCACTTAAATGTAGCTTTGATTTATTTTATTGTTGCGTGGCAACCCGATTTCTTATCCATTGAGATATTGTTCTCTTTAGCTTAACGGTCTTATGGTTTTATCCCATTGGTGTAACTTCTCAAGAGGTCACATATTCTGAGTGTGTTTTTGTACAAGCACATTTAACTTTGGAGTTTTCGATGAAATTCCAACCATTACTCCAAAAGCTGTGTCGATATTCAAGAGTTTATCTTCATTCTACTTAATGAATTTCACAATCTCCCTCACTAAAGTAACTGACATTTTTGTCAATTTTCCTAACCAAGAATCATCCATCAGTTATTGGTGTAATGATCTGATACCATTTGTAACATCTCGTACTTTCATCCATCAAGATATGATACCCTTCAACTTTATGCATATTTGTGTAACTTCTCAAGAGGTCACCCATCTTCAGGGTGCTCCAGCACGAGCATTCTTAACTTTGAAGTTTCTAATGAAATTCTAGCAAAAAGCTCCTTTAAAAGTTTAGCTTCATTCTACTTAAGGGATTTCATAATAAAAATTTAGACTATTTCTTGATTCATACCAGTCTGATCGTTACACCAAAAGTTGTCTTGAAGTTTAAGAGTTCAACTTCATTCTGCTTAGGGGGTTCATGATCTTCTTCACTTAACTAACATCCTCGTTAGTGCCCTAAACCCAGAAGCATCTACCTAATAGATAGGATCTAGATGTGGCCCCTATAGATTCAAGGGATAACTTGCATCTTGTATCGCTTTGTCCCATTTTTTGGTTTAAGAGGTGGCTGCTATGATGTATAACTTTGTTCTATATGACAATTCCTATCTTCAGACTGGTATAATTCTCTGATGCAATTTGTAACAAACCCAAACTCCACCTATTTAAATACTGTCTGTTTTCTCTTAATGGCTTCAAGGTTGGTGTAACTTCCTAGAAGGTCACCCATCCCAAGGGTGCTCCCGCCTCGCCTAAGCATGCTTAATTTTGAAGTTTCTGATGAAATTTTAACTGTTACACCAGAAGACATCTTGATGTTTAAGAGTTCAGCTCATTCTACTTAAGGGGTTTCATAGTTTTTTTTAATTTAATATAACGTGATTATTTTTCTTTCATACTTGTGGCTAATAAAAGCAATTGCGGTTTAGTAAGGGGTGCAACGGGGTCAGCGTCATGTGAAGGCTTAAACGAGAAGTGCCGTAAGATGGTGAGTCGATGGTAGAGAAGGATCTTTTCTTACATAATTACATCGAGGCTATTGGTGTATATTTAGGCCAACTTTTGAAATGGAATGCATTTTGTCTGAGACATTTGAATGAGATTCATTGGCTTTAGTGTCTTCGACCGAGACAATTCTTCTTGGCTTATCATCTTTGGGATCGTCTATTGGCCCCCTCTGCCAACCTTTGCTGCTTGTTGCCCTCGCTAGAGCCTTGCCACTTGCTGTCGTTTGGTCAGCTCTCTGTGTGGTTCAAGTTGATGTTTGGTGTAGGGCTGGATTGCAGCATGCACGTGAACATTCATCCAAACAGACAAAAATATTAACCATGAGACTAACTTGGATCAATTTTGACTAGTAATGGATCAATTAGAACACATTAAATAATCCAATATTTAAATGATTCCCCTTATAAAATACATGCATTATTTTGACATTGTTCTTGCCTTTGATATATAATTTTCGACAATTTTCTTTGTTATTTGACTTCTAGGAATTGCCTATAAATTTTCATGTAAAAAATTTTAATTATACATTTTTCTTTGAAAGGCATCTTACATAGCTTCGCTCATTTGCTCTACCCTTCAAGTAATATTTTCTGTTTATACATTTGTAACACTTTTTGGAGTTTATGAATAAAAGCACTCTCATTCCATTTCTCGATCCTCAAATAAAAGGTTTGATCTTATATTGATAATTGCTGCAGGTATTTACCTGAGGAGATGAGGAACCCAACTACCTTTAAGTGTAGGTATATTGGTTTGATTTTGTCATTTGATATTCATTTTTTCTTGTCAATCGATAAGCTGAACTGTCTTCATTTTCCTTCTAAATTTGGTTGATGGCTAATTCTGTGCAGCTTCTCGTCAAATAATTATTGATCATTATTATGTTCATTATTTTCAGGGATGCTACAAAATCCACAATACCGGCAGCAATTACAAGATATGCTGTAATGATTATGTTACTTTTAACTTCCTTTCCTAGCTGTAATGATAGTATTGCCAGCCTTTCATATCATCTTTTTATCACGTAACTTTCAAGGTGCTTATCAATGTTAGCTATCCAGTTTTAACTTTTGAAGTTATATCTTCATTTAGTTTTTTATTTTTTTTATATATATTAGTGATAGGGTTGGTGTAGCTCTAGTGGCGGATAAAATTAGAGAGTCGTTTTAGATGATTTGGTCATATTAAACGCCGACTATCTGATGATACAGTTAGTAGAGTAGATCTTTTAGATTTGACTTAAGTTAAAAAGGCAAATGCAGACCTAGAAAGATTGGGTCTATTTTATAAAAAAATATCTTAATTTATTAGAATTAAATGAAAATTTGACACTCAATAGGACACAATGCAGAAAATGGATTGATGTAGCTGACCCCACTTAGTGGGATAAAGGCTTGTTGCTGTTTTTATAATATATTTAACATATTTAAACTGTGTCACCATGTATTTTAATAATATTTAATTTTAATTGTTAATATCATATCTACTAAATTTATATATTATATATTTAGTTTTTGTACTGCAAATTTAAAGGTTTCCAACTAAGTTTTTCTCCTAATTTTATCTTTTTACTTAATTCAACAAATATTTCATTCAGTAGAAATTAGAATTGTATCATGTACAAAAACATACATTAACCTGCCTCTTTTTGAATATGTTTAATCACTATAAAGCCCAAAGTAGTCTCCTGACCATTTGTATATGGTCAATGAAGCCCCAAAATTTTTACAATTCTCTAATTTAGTTCATCAACCATACAAAATTTATCCCCTGGGGACTAAATTAGAATCATTTTTGTATCGTTGTGATCAATTTTGTATCCTCGTTTTCATCAATTTCTATTGTCGAATTTGTTCGAGAAGAATTTTATATAGCCGAGGGATTGAATTAGATAAATGTGATATTATGAGATCAAATTGACCATATAGGAGTAGTTAGTGACTATTTTGGATTTTAAAACTTAAAGTTGATTATATAAGTAAATCTATGATAATTGTGAGCTTCTGGGTCACTCCACAACAATTTTTATTATTAATCAATGCCTTAGTCATACATATCTTTAATAACATCAACATATATTTGACACACTTTTCTGAGTTAAATTACTACAAATTAATTTTTGGGGTACCCAATTATATTCCTTGTTAGTGATACCAAATTAACATTACTCTCTCTTATAGCTTCATTGCTTGATTCCCCTAAAATTAAAACAATTTTGGGTATCACATTTTTTCTTGAATATAGGCTTAACAATGCTTTTCCTCTAATCATTTCACATTTTTTTTTTCTGAAAACATTTATTAAAATGATTTGCTTACTAAATACGTAATTAGATATTTCATTTGGACTCAAAGCTTTATCTTTATGCATTTTTTGAGGGCTAAATTCACTTGATCAATTTATAAAATTATTTACTATATTATTTATTCCTTAAAACTGTTATTTAGTAAGTTATCAAGTAACATTCTTTATTCGCTTTTAATCCATCTAATTTCTTCAAAATCCTAGATCTTTTTTCTTTTAGCTACTCTCTTCATTTATTTTTTTCCCTAAATATCAATTTTATTCTATAGATCACCATCATCTTTGTATACTGTTAGTTCCTTTATCATCATTATATACATTAGTAGCATTAAATTTTTGACATGTTTTAAAAGCATATATTTTTTTTATTCCGAAGATCTCTTTGAATTGAGTGACTTTTTACTTTTGAGCATGACTATGTCCCAAATTACCCGCCTTGATTACCTTAACCTAATCCTAAATTCATTTTATCTTTCAATTTAAATTTCAATTTTCACAGATTCGAAGTTTTTTTTTTTATAATTTTGCTATTCTTCTACAATTAAATGAAATGTACAGTTATACCCAAAACGTGCATAACTGCTCTTAAACATTCTAAATTTAGTTTACTTTCAATCTAGTGCTAAAGTTAACAAAAAAAATGCAATAAACATTAGAAGTTTATCAAATTTCATTTATCTGAACAGGTTTAGATTCAAAAGCACCGAAAACTCACCGTAAGGTTTCCAGTGTAAAACTTGACTTAAAAAAAATACTATGTAATAAGCATCATATTGATGAATTTAAATTTTACTCCACAGTAAGGTAAACTTTAGAATGCATAGAAGCATATATAGGCTCTTATAAATTCGAAAGTATTTATATTTTAATTCTAAAACTCAAATATCACATTCTGCACAATGAACAACTAGACACCGTAGTATATCAAATGCATTGAGTTGAGGCTTCATACAGTTTCCTCACTCGGCCAACTTTCAAACAAACTTCATGTTTAAATATCCTATATAATGGATAAAGATTACTTATAAACTTTTATATCAACACTTTATTAACTCTTTAACTTTAGTTTTTCTTAACTGAGGCCCAATTTATAATTATAATACTATTGACAGAGTGAGAAGAAATGAGCATGGAAAAAATGTTGTCACGGCCCAATTTCTCTCACTTTTTGTTTCTTTTCATGCAAACCTTGATTCTTAATGATCTGGCCAAAAGAGTTTTTTTCCTCCCCTTGGAAAAGATGTTCAAATCGAAACCTATTAGTACTTTCTTATCATATTCACTGCCAAGATCTTGGCCAACCATACAGCTTCACAACCCATTCACCATGGATATCCCAATGCTCAATTTTCTCTTTTTCGCTTTCATTCATTCCCTCAGAAACCTTGTTTTCTAATGACTTCATTCTCGCAGTTCAAATCTTTATGCCAAGAAAGCTTTGTCAATTCCGCCAGCATCCTGCTTGCTCCTCTTCCTTTCTATTGTGCCTGATCCATATTTCTCCAATGTTTGATGTTTCCTCACCACAGCCAACCTCAAGCACCTTTATGTTCAGACCATAAGAATACTAGTTTCTCTTGCTCCAGTGAGACTGCTCGAGTTATTCAATACTTTAGACATTACTTCTCAAATCTCTTTTCTACTTGTCGAGATGTGTCTGAGATGGAAATAAAGTTGTGAGAATTAATTCTAATTTCCTTAATTAAGGAAATTAGAATTAATTCTCACAACTTTATTTCCATCTCAGACACATCTCGACAAGTAGAAAAGAGATTTGAGACTCTGCAACGCGCTGATCTTTGCGTTTCTTCACTGCTGCTTCCGCGCGCTTCTTCCGAAGGTGGAAGCTTCAACGCGCTTCTCCAACTTCCTCCTCTGCGATCTGCGCGCGCTTCTCCGACTTCTCCTTCTCTGCGATATGCGATCGGCGCTTCTCCCGAGCACGGGCTGCTTCCGACTCCTCTGACTTCTGCGAACTATAGGATATCCGACTTCTCCGACTTCTTTCCGCTTCGTCCAAGAGGAGCAGCACGTTGTCACGATCGTCCTTTGCCGCTGAAGTAATTTGCGCTGTTTGCCGCTGTGTGGTCGCTGCAGAGCCTGCAATCCTGTGACGCATATCTCGCGATTTTGTCGCTGTTTGGATTTTTTTTTTCTGCTGCCGCTGCTTTAATTACTGCGATTCTTTTACCTCTGCAGGTTTATTCTAGCCTTAATTGCTGCAAATTTTTTCTTCTCCACCATGTCAATGTCCGAAACCACTATCTCCAACTACTCCAATCATTCTGAAGAATACAATGCTGTTCAGAAAATTGGAGAGTTGCAGAATATTCGGGCATCCAACAGGTTCAATGGGAAGAACTATCTCAAATGGTCCCAAATTGTCCACACATACCTAAAAGGCAAAGGGAGGATTAATCACCTACTTGGAACCGGACCAGAAAAAAAGGATCCAGCCTCTACAGCATGGGAAGAGGAGGATTCCATGATTATGTCCTGACTATGGGATTATATGGACCCAACGATCAGTGACACTTGCATGTTCTTGAACACCGCAAAAGAAATCTGGGACTATATCAACCGCACATACTCAAAAGCCCGCGATGCTGCTCTTGTGTATGAAATCAAGGAAAAAACCGGAGCAACCAAACAAGGAGACAAATCTGTCACAGAATATGAAACTCTATTGCAAAATCTGTGGCAGGAACTGGATCACTATCGTGTAATTGAGATGAAATGCACTGATGATGTTGCCACCTTGAAGAAGTTCATTGAGAAGGATCAGATATATGATTTTTTGGCAGGATTGAATCCTGAATTTGATCATGTTAGAATCCAAATCCTTGGCAAAGAGGATACACCATCTCTAGAAGAGACAATCTCATTAATCCGAGCAGAAGTAAGTCGGAGGAGTGTCATGCTAGAACCACATACTATGGATGGGTCAGCTTTAGCAGCAAACACAAATCAGGAGAAGTCAAAGAACGATAACCAAGGGAAGAAGAACAAAGACAATCTTTGGTGTACTTATTGCAAGAAACCAAGGCATACAAGGGAGAAGTGTTGGGAGTTAAATGGTAAACCTCCAAGCTGAGAATGGGGCAACCATGGGGAGAAATAAAGGCCTCGAGCGCATATGGCAGAGCAACCCAATATAAAGAAAAAATCAACAATAGAGGGATTCAGCGATGACGAAATTGAGAAATTGAGAAACTTATTGGGATCTCTTGAGAAGCTTTCTGGAGCATGTTCGATAGCTCTTTCAGGTAAAACTGTTTGCATGAATGTCTTAGACAAATTATATACCAACTCTTGGATCATTGACTCCGGTGCTACTGACCATATGACCCCCACATCTCAACTCTTCCAGTCCTATACCCCCTGTCAAAGTAATAGAAAAATTATCATGGCCAATGACTCTTTAGCTACTGTTGCAGAGATTGGTGATATACATATTACACCTAGCCTTATCCTGAAAAACGTTCTCCATG